TATAGCAGTGGTTTTAATGCAGTCTGACTCATCTCTACTGTAAAATAAAACTCTATTACCAAAAAATGCAGTAGGGATGAGGAATTTAATTCTTTCTTTATTGTTTTTTATTTATTAAGTCATAGCTGTGTAAAGGGGGGGCGGGGAGGGGGAAGGATGGGAGGAACTTAATTCTTAAAGGAACAAATCTGCCTTGTCATGAAGACTCCAATTTATCCACTTGGGGGTGTTTATAAGGAGATGTACCATTTAGTTTTACTCTAAATGTATATACACAAATAAGTGAACCAAACAAAAAAAAATTACTTCATACAATTGCTCAATGCAGAACTCACTACTGTGTCTTCATTTCTATCTTATGGCATATGACTTAGATTGTTTGGAAACATACCTAAATCTATAGATAAAATAAATGTATGAATTTAATAGAAGAAATGCAGAAACATGTTTTACTAAGGTAAGTCAAAGTTTAGCTATCAGTTATAAAATTATATTCTATAACGGCTTTAATTTTATGATACCCTTATTCGGTTGTTTGCTCTGATACTTCTATGCCTTTGACAGCTATATGTCTTAGAAATTTAAAAGAATCAAATAGTTCAGATAAGAAACTTTTAAACTATAAGAAATCAGAGACCAGTTTTGTGTTTCTGAACTTCCTTACAAACGTCCAAGTGTGACTGGGTGGTCTACTCTCAAAACATGATGCTTTTTAACTATGCCTTTCTGGATTCCAATCTTCTCACTCATTTAGGATCGCTACCTTTTGTTACTTCACTAGAACTCCTTGACTTTGAAGGAAAGAAAAAACTGAAGATGTCGTTTATTATGTGCAAAAATTCATTCTGGTCACAAAACTTTGCCATACATATGTCAAATGCATTCAATAAAATATATGTTGTAAATTTATGCCACAGAATTGTTTGGATCAAAACTCATTTCTTTAAAAAATTACAGAGACTAATTTAGTCAATTAGTTTAAATAATTGCCCCATTACAAAAACACTACTAAACAAACAAACAAACAAACAAATAAACCAGGAATCCTGGAGAAAAAGAGATGACTTCATTAAAATGCAAAAATGTTACTGACAGCATCATATTTTAAACAAATCTTAAAAGTGGGTTGTAAACAAAACTGTATAATTTTTGCAATTGATCTAAATGTTAAGACTGTTATAAAAGTTAACATCTTGCAACCATTTCTAAAGTACAAATTCTTTTATTTAAGATAACTTTCTTTGCTTGAAGAGAAGCTGAACTATATTAAACCATTTTCAAAGAAGATTCTAAATATGGTCCTTAATTCTGAAACTGCGTCGAAGTGCTTAAAACACATGTAGGATACCAGGGCTGAACCTAATTTAACTAATTGAGGCTTTTGTTCAGTTCTTATTAACATCAGTTTTACTAATTATGTATAAGTTAAATTTGGTTTCAAAAGTGCACATGGAAAAGTAACCAAACGACATAGAATAATTTATAAAAAAACATTTCTTTCAGTTCCTTTGGTTTATACAACATAAATTCGCTTATGGATGAAAAGTTTATTCCTTAAAGCAACAGCAAAGAAAAAGTCAGTATTCTTTAAAAATAAAATTGGCTGTTCTAGACCAAGAGAGGAAAGTGCAGGTGCGGCATTAGTTTTAGTCCTAAGTCAGGACTTAGTTTTCTACCTGGATACCATGCTAACCAGATGAAAGGCACCCCAAGGTAGAATAGGGGTGTTTACCTGGAAGACCCTCCTAGCAAAAAGGTCCACCTGATGCGTGAGAACGGTTTACCTTCACCAGGATCAGACGCTAGAACTACTTTACTTCTGACAGACCCGGGTTGGTAGATTGAGCTGTATGTATCAAATGCTGTAAATAGGAATTGCCTGGTTTTTACATCTTGACTTTGGTGGATTCTTATTTTCTGCTGAGTGAACTTTATTAGCCCCTGTTAGTAAAATCAGTGTCCATCACCACTGGGAGTAGTGGGAGAGAGAGAGAAGAGATTGAGATTGAGATTGAGATTTTTCCAGTGTTGCCACCATGTTCAATGGTCCAATCACAGATCTACTGGGGAACGCAGTTCGCTAAGAAAAGAGTTAATATTAATGTTTGGACTGGCTTAAGATTTCAGTTTTCTGGGAAGAGAGATTATAAAACGGCACATAAATTGCTCTTCCATGAAGAGATGAAGGAAACTTTCCTACCTCCAGGTCTGACTAGTCAGCTATCACACTGGCACACGTGGACAGCTGCAGGTTGCCAGTGTCAACCTAAGAAAATGCAATGCTTTTTCTTTATTTTCTTTCTTTTGAGGGAGGATTACGAGATAACATTTTTGACTAAATAAATGCTGATTATCTTCTATAAATAGTAAAAGATAGCAGGTCTGGCCCTTCACTCACAGCAGTCCTGCACACTGCAACTTCTTCAGCAAAGTCTAATTGCTACTGGGCCTCAGGGGAGTGGGGCTGTAACTTCACATTCCCTTTTCAAGAGCAAAGGGACATTATTCCTCAAAATAAGAAAATCAGCACAATGCGTACTTATTCACCTGTGTATGAGTAAATCAAAATTTCAGGTTATGACCACACAACTAAAGACAGAAATAGTTAGATAATACTAGGTGTAACCAAAAGAGGGCATCATCTGCCCTTCCTGACTGCACAGAGTTCCTGTGGTTGCAGAAAGAAAATACCCCAGGATGGAAGGGCTTCCCATGGTTCCTGGCACTTCATACTTTATAAGGAGACCAGATCATGGGACCAACATTAGGAAGGGCATCAGGTACTTATTTCTTCAAGACTGATTTCCACATTTAGCACTCATATTTTCTGAAATGTGTTCAAGTTCTAATGGTTACCTTAAAAGCAAACATTTAACACTTACTGTATCACTTCTCACAGACACTCTGAGCTTAACGTTTTATAGAGCTCTGAGAAAATTTTCCCATAGGCCAGTGTATAGACTGTTATCAAACAACAAGAACATAACAGTTAACTTCCGAATGGTATCCTAACTGCGAGAGGTTATATACCTATACCACAGATAGATAGATAGATAGATAGATAGATCTACGGATTGGACCACTGGCAGTATGGGGTAGTCAGTCCTACCCAGCCATGGAGGATGCAGTTAAATGCATTTGAGGTACGTGGGAAACGGATTAAAGCAGAATTTTATGCCAACTTTTAGTAACAAAAGCTTAACAAATGTTTATTCTTTCAAGTGGGAGGAAAAAAAGTGCTCTGACACTACTAAACTTATTTTCTGTACTCTTAAACATGTTTTATCAAAAACGTACGATTCAAATACAGGTTCAGTGAGGGATGTCCCACTGTCTGGACAGCGAGGACCGACAGTGACGGGCTCTCATGTACACCTGCAACCCAGCCAGGAGAACACCCCTGAACCTGACCTTCACACTTAAATCAAGGAGGCTGGGGATAAGTGTCCTGCTTTGCAGGAGAGGCAGCCCTTCAGGAGGAGACTTGGGAATTCTGAGGGAATGGACTCTGGGAGGAGGTGGACTCATAGCCCTGGAAACATGTCCCTACCTTCTGCAGTGAGAGCAATTGAAGGGAGATCTGGTGGGGAATAATTCCATAATCCTTTCAGGAAAGAAAATGTGCCCTAAACAGTTTTATGGTAGATGAGGAGGTGACTGCCATCTACCACGACTAAAATCTAGCAGGATGGCCCCTTTCTTTAAGTGCAATATTAAAGCAGGTTAAAAAAAAGTTATTTTTTCCTTCTTTCTCACTGTCTCCATAAAAAGAACCACTACCTAGTGGAAAACGTTGTGCAAGCCTCTGCGTGTTTCTTCCCTCTGGAAAACAACTAAACAGAGGAAAGAACGAACGGGTTCACAAACATCCCAACTCATTCCTGCCAAGGTACATCAGAGGAGCCGAAAACCGAGACTGCCTGGGCTTGGGGTGGGCTCACTGCAAGGTCTTGAACTAAAATCTAAATGTTTCAGTTTGTGGTCACCAGCGCCCGTTTTCCAGGCCAGCTTAAACCCTGGTCTCTCTGCTCAAAGGAACGGAGCCCCAGAATCTTGACACCACGGGGGGTGGGAGAGTGGTCACCTTGATCTCGAGATCGTGGTTACCTTCTCCCACTCAACCACCTGTTACCCTCGGGGCCTGTGCTTTCCAAAGACTAAATTATGAAATGAGCCTCTGCCTTGTCTCCGTGGACAGGGCTTTGGAGACAGTGGTGGGGCAGAAGGGATGTGAGGATCCCCAAGGGACGACAGCGAGCTCCAGGTCTCCCTCCGGCCGTCAGCGCAGCTGTTCACCCCGCCCGCCCCGCAGCCTTCAGCCCACTTCCCTTTTCTTCCCCGGGGGAGGAGATGGTTAAAGATTACACTGCGGCCGCGGGCACTTCAAAGGGCGGCTCGGGCAGCCAAAGGTAAAGATAACGTTCTGGCAGCTCGAATCAAGGTTTGTGGTTGCTACATTTTAATCGCGTCTTTAAAAAGGAAAGAAGGGTAGAAAGGAAGGAAAAAGGTTACATCACGCCACAGTGCAAGGATGCAGAATAAGTCCCTTTAGAACTGGGCCAGTGGGTTTCTCTTTGGCGTAAACTTTTTACAACCCACCTCTTTGAGGAATGCAACAAGATGCAGAGAGGAGGCTGCGTCAGGGACCAGCCGCGCACCCCGCCGCAGAGCTGGGGCTCCCGGACGCACACGCCCACCCCGCACGCAGAAGCCCGCACTCCGCGGAACGCAGCCTGGTGGTGCAGAGGGCGGGGCGGGAGGCAGCGGCGTGCCAGAGCTTTCTGGGGTTGCATTCTTTGCGGGCGCAGAGAATGTGAGCACGCTGTCCCCTGAGACACGTGCATTTCTCTGGGGACCCAAACAGGTCTGGCCAGGATGCCTTTGTCAAAATCTCCCGCCCCTCCAGCGCAGGAGGGCACGGAGGAGCTCCCAGTCCTGACCTGGGCCAGCCCTCCTTCCCCTCTTAGCCTCCCTCTCGGAGCAAGGAGGGGGACACTTACAGGTAGGAGGTGAAGACGCTGAGGTTGGAGGGCAGCTCGGAGAGTCCCAGGTCGGAGCAGTCCACCCTGAGCAGCATCCTGCCGTCGGGCTCGCAGTGACAGTGTGTGGGGCAGCCCCGCGGCAGGGCGCCCGACCTGGGCGAGCCGCCCCCGGCCGCCAGCTGCAGCAAGACAGGCAAGGACAGGAGCGCGCGGAGCCGGGAGGTGTCCATGGTGCCCGAAGTAGGGGGCCACGAGGCGGACGCAGACGGAGTGCAGCGGGGGCGCTGCTTCTGGGGCTTCTGAGCCTCAGCTGACGCCTGCGGCACGGGGCGCCGCGAGCCTGGCCCCCGGCGGGGGCACCGAGGAGGGAGCCGCGGGGACAGAGGCGCCCGGGACAGCCACGCCGGCCTCCGGCGCAGCCCTCGCTGCAGGCGCGGTGCGCTCGCTGCTGCAGGCGGCCTGCGTGGTGTGGGGCAGCATCTCCGCTCGCACGCCTGTGTTTTAAAGCGCTCCAGCCCGAATTGCGCGCCCGGTGACGTCAGCGCAGCCCGCACCCCCGCCCGGCCCCGCTCTCCCTGCGCGTCCCTCCCTCCTGCCTGCGGCCCGGCCGGGAGGCGGCGGGCGGCGCGCGGGGCCGCGGAGCTCGGGCGCTCCGACTGCTCCTCCGCGGGGCGGCTGCGGCGCTCGGCCGCGCGCCTTGTGCGGACTCCCTCCCTAGCTCACCCTCCCTGCGTCCCGGCCACCCACAGGAGAGCCGAGACTGGCGTGCTTTGGCGCGACACACCAGACACACAGGGACCGACGGATGCGGCGCGCTGCCTCCGAGCCCGCTGCAAATAATGGATGAGATACATGGAGTGCCTAAAGAATATTCCACCAAAATCCAATGCAGAGAAACAGTGACGTTATCGGGGTAGCGAGGCAGGCGTCCCGGCGACCGATAGGTGGCCTTTTTGATCCTTACGTCAGCCGCACTGTCTGGCTCGCTTTTGCCCTAAAATCAAAGTGCTGGGCTAATCACTAAATAAATACAGGTCCGAGTGCGCGCTCCACTGCTGCCTGCCTAACTGTGCGGGGCGAGGAAGGGGAAGTGACTAATTGTTTTTTAAAGTGTTTTAGAATCCCATGGAAGTCACCTTCGGTAAAGTGCTGCGGGACAGACAGATGGCTGTTTGCTTTTGTTCGGGAGCTTTTTTATCTAAGCGCTCCAGGGTTCTCAGAACTAAGGCCAGTCCCCCACGGGAGCGCCAGTGCGAGAAGGCTTGCTCTTGCTCAGAAAGTCCTTCAGTGAGTCTGCAGGAGAAAGGCGGAGAAAGACCTAGAGCTTTCCTGGAGGAAGAGAAGCCCTCAGGAAGGACAAGTTGTCCTGTCCAGATCCCAGTGAGCTTTTGAAAGCGGTGACAGCCCAAACTTGCAGCACTAACTCACAAAAACACAGTTTTCACTCAAGGCAGGGAACCTTTCTGACTTTCAAGATCTCTCTTAATCTTCTTCCACTTGACTGTTCACACAAATTTCCCATGTAGACTTACGATTTTTACGATAGGGAAGATCGTGTGTGTGTGTGTGTACACTTGCCATCCTTATTTATAAAGTAGTCTCCGAACCTGGCTGTTCATTCACCTGTGGAACTTCTAAAAACATACAGATTCTTGACCCCAGCCTGTATTCTGAACCTGCTCTTTTCTCCGGTGAATTTAATCATCAGGAAACGTGTGATTCTTTGCATGAGGAGGAGGGAAAGAGTGGGAGAAGATTACAGCCTCTATTCTCCTCATTTTGCAAAACCTTGGAAAACTTGACCGTGCTGCTGAAAATAGTGAGCTAACCTGGGTTTGGGGTGATGTGAGCGGCCCACTGCTCGCCGGTCCTCGCTTGTCCCCCACGCACACCACACCCGCTCCCACCCTTTGCTTATCCTCAGTTATTCGCGTCCTCTCAGCCTTTCCTTTCTCCTGAATAGAATGCCCATCTTCCTTCTCCTTTTTTTACTTATCCCCAGATTATTTTGTAAATGCAACTTAAAACGTGTTTTCTGTGAAACTCCTCATAACTGCAGCCTGCTTTAGTCACGATCTACAGATGTTTGGGGAATAATTACCACTAGGATGTCCAAGAAAGGTCAGCTGCCTCTTCTCAGGGAGCTTGCAGTCCGGGGGGCGGGGGGGTGACAGACTCGGAACTCCCAGAGTGACAAATCGCCCTGAAGTTTACATTATAAATATGGTCTAAACCTGAAGGGGTTTTTTTTTTTAATACATATTTGTTTCATTTTGCCAACTTTATTGTAACCATTTTCCAGGCAGAGACTAGGTCCCTGGTCTCCTTTTTAGCTTCAGGATTCATGTCCTGGACTCAGAGTAGTGAGTATTTAACAAATATTTGCTGACTGATTGATTGATCATCACAGGCTTTATGGCTGTGCCCACCATCTGTTTAAGGACATTAAGCAACTCTTTCTCTGACTTCAAAGTTGCTAAAAGGAGTGTGGCACTTTGGTTGCAGAATGAGTTAGGCAGGAATGTATTTGAGTCAGGGCTCGCCAGTCTCAGGCTGTGTGGTCAGGAGCACAGAGGGAGCCTCTAAATCTCAGTCACCTTCCCGGTAAAGGAGGCTTCAGTCACCTCGGCTGTCCTCAGTGTTGAAGTATCTGCACCACCAGCTTAGAGTAGATGGATCTGCACCTGTGTTAGTGCCTCTCCTCTTCTTTTCAGGAATGAAGCTTGTTAACAAATTTATGTGGAGCAAAGCAATTTCTGATTCAATTGAATGGGGAGACAGCTTTGCCGTCTGAGGCCAGGGGAAACGAATGTCTCTTCCTTCTTTGTTTTTTTTCATACCCAACATTTCTCCTTCTCCTTTCAGAAAGGGCATCCACCGTTTGCCTTTGGGAAACTGCCCCTCAAACCTTAGGCTGTCAGTCCTGGGGCCCCACCTCCCTGCCTCTGGGGTAGGAATTTAACTCAAGCAGAACAATCTGAAAGTGTTTGGGGGACTGTCATGGCCCCTGGAATGAGAGGGTGTTCTCTGGCTCCATAAGCTATGAAAACAGGCATGGCTGGAGCTCCCGGGAAGGTTCTCCTGAGTGGAGAAAGCCCACTGGGAAGGGAATATGAACATAGCAAGGAGGCAAGCAAAATCCTGAAGTCTTCTTCTAAACAACTGGATTTAAGCCATTTCTGCTCCATCTCCTCTCCACTGGGTGAACCAAAATTAGTTTTGTATTGTTGCTTGAGCCAGTGAGTGAGAATTCAGCTATGGTCACTTGCAGCCAACCAGTCACATTCAGTTAACACCTGAAAACACAGGACACGTGAGCATTTGACAGTGGCCTGATGAATCTCCAAGGTCTCGTAGACCATAGAAGTCATAGGGGTTGAGAATAGTCACGGTCCAGTGGATGGTGATTTTATGGCCTGAATGGATGTACGTTAATCACTTTATCTCAGCTAATAAAGATAAAAGTATAGTGAACTAGTTTCCTTTCACATTAAAAAATTTTTTTTCAGTAGGCCAGTGATTTCTCTCTGTATTTGTAACAAATACCATTTATAAGATTAGCTCTTCAAATTCAATGGTAATGGCCATCCGCACAGACTCAGCTCTTTGTATTGTCTCATGCTCTCATGGAGCCCTCAGTAAGAGGTAGGTCCCATTCTTAACCCACATTTAAGGATTAGAAATGCAAACAGTTTTCTTAATGGTGGCCAGCAAATTAATGATGGAGCCAAAATTCTGACATGAGCATTTTGACTTTAAATTCTGTACCTTTTCCCAAATCCTTGGGGGGATGCTAGTCGCATGTAGACTTAAATTGGATAGGACTTTGGGTTTACTATCATTTTACTGAGAAAGAATATTTTTGTAAAGAAAAGTATAGTTCTTTTAGACTGTGGTGGGACAGGTTGGAACAGAGAATGGTGGTTTATGATGTGAATTGTAGGGACAAATATATACTAAACCTTTCCCCTTGGAGCGGGGGAAATCTATTTATGTATTTCAGGTTGCTCTCACCAATCAGTTTCTCACAGGAATGCGTACAGGTGAAATGTGGGAGAATACACTCCCACCCTGACCTGCGGTAGTGAGGTTAGTGAGATTCATTTAGTATTTTGTTTGGGTGAGATGTTCTGACTCATACCTTTGAAAAGTATCTCAGTGGTAATGAGCAGCTCTGTGATGAAATAGCTCATGTTAGGATAGAAATTACTCCTCACCTTTTAGACTCTTACTGCAAGTTCCTAAAATTGAGTATGGTACAGTGGAGTCTGCTGGGTGTCTAACTTCTGGGCTTGTTGAATAGATGTTTTCCTAATTCTTTAATCCTTGATAAAAGCCCACAGCTAAAAACACTCACATATACCACAAGAATTACTAATAAGCTTAGTTGAAGCGTGCCAGGATAATTTTAGTTAACAGGTAAGTCAATATTTCTTTTACAAGTATAGTGAAATAGTGTTTACACAACTGGTGGGCTATTATGGACTTATTTAACTTGCTTGAAAGAGTATAGAGCCCATTATTTGCCTTGCTCGTTTTACCTTCATGATATAATCAGGCTTACGCTGAATTTCTTAACTTCCTTTCACCAACAAAGTCTAATTAATTGAGAAGGGAGGAGGAGGATTTAGGAATAAAGATCTATTTTCTTTCAGAATTATTTATTTTGTGAGAAAACATTAGTCCAGCTAATTCATTACTTTGAAATAGCTTATTATATAAAATCAATTGGATCTGTCTTTGATTTTATCCAACATAAAGGTGACTTTTAAATACATCCACATGTTCACAGTGTTCTAAAAGAAGGGACACTGGTGTATTATATTATCAATTCTTTCGCTCATTTTGATCCCCTCGTCTAATTCCAGGTATGATAATGCCTGAGCTTCTCCTGGTATGCCGCTGGCTGCCTGAGAATATGTCCAGTCAGACTCACATGTAAACGAGCGGTAGGTTTTCTTTTCAAGCTAAGAACAAAACTAATGAGGAAAAAATAACAAAACACAACCAAACGATCTTCCTGTTTATTCATCTGCTTTATGTAATTCTTTT